GAGAGAGTGTGTGCGTATATATGTAAGCGATGTAAGAGAGAGAGTGTGTGTTTGTGTGTGTGTAAGAGAGAGAGAGTGTGTGTGTAAGAGAGAGAGAGAAAAAGAGAAAGAGAGAGTGTGTGTGTGTAAGAGATGTAAGAGAGAGAGAGTGTGTGTGTAAGAGAGAGAGAGAGTGTGCGTGTGTGTGTAAGAGATGGAAGAGAGAGAGTGTGTGTTTGTGTGTGTAAGAGAGAAAGAGAGAGAGAGAGAGTGTGTGTGTAAGAGAGAGAGAGAGAGAGAGTGTGTGTGTGTGTGTGTGTGTGTGTGTAGGTGTGTGTGTGTGTGTGTGTGTGAGATGTAAGAGAGAGTGTGTGTCTGTGTAATATAAAAGTACAAAACAAACATATTATGAAAACGAAACTAGAAAACTGTTTTCATAACAATGACTTCCTGAAACAGTTGTTTTTGTTTTCAAGGAACATGGGGTATTAAGTTGACACAATCATAGTGGTATATACATGATATTAATGACATTGATGTATCCACAGTGGTAAAGTTATTAATATTTTTTCATAATTAATCTTTTTAAAGTAATAACTACATACATGTGCATTGTTGTGATATTTTTTTATAATGAAGTAGATCAGTGGAGAAATGTAGATATTGGAAAACTTGAAACCTACAACGTTGTGACTGCGGGTTTTGTAAATCATGAAAAATATTTTTCTATATGAGTTACCTCACTAATACTAATTTGTTTACTCCTGAAGTCCGACACGTCAATAATGCACACTGTCCAAAAGTGCTAATATCTCCCTACACTGATTCGTAAATAACGCAGGGCGACATAGTAGACAGCAATAGTTTGATTTATGTAAATAGTTACTAAGTACCATCCATATTTAAATGAAAATCCACATCTAACCGCACCGAGGACAACATCAGAATCACGTATTAGTTGTAACACTTTGAGACCCGTGAAGATCCGGGGTAGAATAGGTACTCAGCAATCCATGCTTGCCGTAAAAGGCGACTATGCTTGCCGCAAGAGGCGACTAACGCGATAGGGTGGTCAGGCTCGTTGATGCCAATTGCGTGGATCGATGTTCATGATATCAATCACTGGATTGCCTGGTCCACACTCGATTTTTTACAGACCGCCGTCATATAGCTTGAATATTGCTAAGTGTGCCGTTAAACAACAAACAAACAAACAAATGTAACACTTTACTTTGAAATGGAATGTCAACGTCATACGGCTTTCACTCAGCTCAATGTTGTACATAGTTAGTGAGTGAGTGAGTGAGTTTGGTTTAACGCCGCTTTTAACAGTTTTCCAGTTATATCACGGCGTGTCAGATTAATGTGGGAGGAACGCCCGAAGTGATGCAGGTCTCAGACGTTTACCACTTCGGTGAAACCCACGAGCACGGGTATGGTGCTTACAAACCTAGAAACATAATTGGGGCGAACCGGGATTCGAACCCACAATCATAGGTTTTTGGAGTGCCCAAGGGACGCAACTCTGCACAGCGAATCGCGGTGCCTTAGACGACTGGGCCACCCGTGCCCCCTGTACACAGTTAGAAGTGGCGGGTGGGCGAATCAACACAAAACCATCCCTATGATTCTGCCCTTATCTTGAGTAACGAACATGGATTTGTTTCGTTAGTTTCAATAGTTGTATTGCATTTGATTGTATTTTAATAAGATATAGCTGGAGTGAGTGAGCTGGGTTTAACGCAGCTTTTAACAGTATTCCAGTTATATCGCGGCGTGTCAGCTTAATGTGGGAGGAAAGCCCGAAGTGATGCAGGTCTCAGACGTTTACCACTTCGGTGAAACCCACGAGCACGGTGCTGACAAACCTAGAAACATAATCGGGGCGAACCAGGATTCGAACCCACAATCATAGGTTTCTGGCGAGCCCAAGGGACAGCACAGCGAATCGCGGCGCCTTAGACGACTGGGTCACCCGTGCCCCAAAATATAGCTGGAAAATATAAACATCGGCCTGTCCCTTATATTCTGTACATTAATAGCTATGTCTCTTGCGGTTTTTAACAAAATGGTTTATGGCTATTTTTTTCCATTTTGAATGTTTTCTAATGAAGTTTCATAATTTTAAACGAAATCATTCAATAAACATATTGCCACCAAATGTGACAAATTTCTATTTTGTTGGAAAAGTTATATCATTTATATTACGAGTTATTCCTGCTTTTGTGCAAATGTTAGCACAGGAAAGGCCAAGTTATGTGTGACTCCACGTGTGTCCACCCATATAACTTTCTTACATGCGTATCTCGTTCATATATCTGAGAATAGTGTGTTCGCTCAAAGTTTTCTGACAAGCGTTTAATAAAAATATTTGTCGCACAGCACAATTAGGGGGCGAAATGTTTGCGCAAATTTAAGAAAAGGTAATTTTAAGACTATGTTTACTATTATTTCTCTTACATATATCAGAGACCCTATAATAGATTATATTGTATGGTCTCTGCATATATAGATATATATATATATATATATATATATATATATATTTATATATATATATATATATATATATATATGCAGAGACCATCATGTATGTAAAATATATGAAGATAATAGTTTTAGAAATTTACTTTCCCACAATTAAGTACAATTTAAAGGGGCACTGATCTAACGCAATTCCCCGGGACTGGTTGTTGCCTTTGTTATTGTTTTTTTCCCATTGAGTACCCGGATGTATAGCAGAAATCTAGACTAGTTCGCGACCTCTGCTGCGCCATTCGTAAGCGCATTAGTCACTTTTATGGGTAGTAATAAGGGCGTATGGTCACATTGATTTCGAGATAATAAGGAAATGTAGGTATCTTTGTGAGTAGCATCGGTAATGGTGACGAAGTTTTGATAAGTCACTTGCTTGGTAATTTTCGTTTACACTATTTTGACTTGCAACACAAAGTAAATATTTCACCTGAGCATATGCTTTTTTTATAGTGTGTATATCTTTTTACTGTCAAATGTGTAACGAATTTATTAAACGTCTAAATATTCAGTTATTTTACAAAGTGACTGAAAAACATTTCCATCTGTATTATTATGACAACGAATTCCAAACATTTTGATGTTTAATGTCATCACCAAGAGACTGAAAATGTTGCGTTGAAAAGTACATTTCTAAGTTGTTTGGCTTTTAATCCTACATAATAATCTGTTGTGATGTTTGTAGGCCCTTTTGATCGTCTTGATCAATCTGGACAGATTTTTTAGTCAAAATGACTGAAATATTTACACATTTTATAAATTGCCTGGGAGAATCACATTTTACAAATTGACGGTAATATATACACGCTTACAAAGGAAAAGACCCGTGACAACGACGTCTATCGCGCATTGAAGAATTTCCCAACCAAGACGTAGAGAAACAAGAACGAATCGGTTCAAATGAAGGAAAACAAAATGCAAATATCATAATTACAACCTACCAAATTTATGTGTATAAGTTTTAGGCAGCTTCCTTGTTCGAGGAATGTATCCGTGAATATCCACACAAAGGAACAATATCCCACTCGTGTGCAGCTGTACAAAGAAACTTATTCGATATCACGTCTCAGTAACAATCAAATATTTTAAAAAATATATATCGTTTCGGGATATTATAACCCGTGTTCGTTTCTCAACTGATAGCTTGGATTGTTTCAGGTGTTTTACATAGGTGTCAAGTCTCAATGGTCAGCTGAGAAAGCTCACGTGACAACTATTTTCTTAACGTCCACGGTTCCTAAAAATTCCATTGAGTGATAGATAACAATGATCAATCAATCAACGTATTATCAGTTAACCCTTTGAACAAAGTATGTTGTTTTTACATCGGCACTTCGCGCCATGATATGAGTGTATTCCCTTTGTTTTAGTAAACCTAGACATGAAAACACTCACTCTTGACATATCCACTGTGCAAGATAACAGTGATTAATCAATCAACGTATTTTCTGTTAATCCTTTGATGACTAGGAACGATCCGTTAATTTACAAAAAAAAGTAAATCAACTGATCATTCATCTCTTGCTGGACTGCCACGTGCATATTACATAACACACATTTCACCTCATTTCAAACCTGGATTTAGATTAAATAATTACCCCAGACACAATAAATGCCAAATGGGAACCTTTGTCAGGTAATCTAAGTGGTGCTACCACTAATTGTACCTGTAATAAATTCATTAACTGAGCATCAAGTGAATGACGACAAATACACAAGTGTAGGGTTATACGAGAAAACGTGGATGAAAACAAGGGAGTAGTAATCGTATTATCGACGCAAGCCGAAATCCAAAAATGCTTTCACTGCATGGATACCTTTTTTAGTATTAAACTATAACCATCTGGGGTATTTCCAAATGACCACATCCGATGAGCTCCTTTGTTCTTTATGTCTGTTTGTTTAGGCTGAAGAAATTAATTAACAAGCGCCCTTTGTCGAAATCTTTATAGATCACAGTTAACCAATCAGTGTTCAAAAATGCGTAAAACAAATATTGCCTCCAGCCTCCAAGTTTATTTAGCTGTCCTTGCAGACGGTACCCCAGTCTCTGGTCACGCTCAGTTGCGTTGCGTATCATCCGGGTACTCACGGGGGAAAAACAATAACAAAGGCAACAACCAGTCCGTTAGATCAGTGCCCCTTTAACTTTTGAAGGTCTTTCTTGCACCTGATGGTGGCACATCTTACAAAACGACAGAGAGCAGTTTGTGACGTTTCTCAGTGGTCTATCGGGGAACCCTTCGTCTAAAAATAGCGACCAATGAAAAAATATATAACATAGTGTACGTTTAATATTTCGAAGGCATTTACAGCCATCGTCTCTTTGGCCTGTACCGGCTCTTATATTGAGATATGAGGGACGGGGCCCAGCTCTGGCGGCAAGGCAGCTAAACTGGTTCCACTATTGATATGCGCCGTAAGCTTAGCGCTTTTACTACTTTACCTAGACAGGAGCCCAGTCAGAAACGAAGCCGCCCGCGATTGAAAAGCAGTTCTACTGGATAAACTACTTTGACTGAAAGGTAGTTCAACTCGATAAACCTTCCAAAATACTATTGTTATGTCACCTGTTGGTGCAGCCAGACATAGGAAGATTAACTGTTGATCCATATGTGCTTCTTACACCAAGAAAAAATGCTTTCTGTGTGGTAAGTACGATCAATGGCAATGGATTGACAAGGAAAATATTTATGCATTTTGTATCCTGAGTTCATTGTCCATATTTCGTCCACAAGTTGTAAGTTCACCACAAAATAGTGATACCGCGATAACATAACGAGTTGCCCGCCCTTGAGTAGCTAATGTACTTTGTTTACCGAACCCGTCAAAGACAATCGGCACCGATCAATCCTAATTAATGTGTCATAAAAGTTGGACACAGAACAAGAAACATTCTGCGTATTTTGCGTAATAGGTTAGTAAGCGTTCGCTATGACGTTCCATTATAAATTAACTATCGCCATAATATAACATACCATGCAACTGTGACAGTCATTGCATGGGCATCAGCTGGGCTCCATGGAGTAGGTCTATATTGCGGCTGTTGATCTACTGTCCAATATTATTCCACTGAATCCTTAGGAGATAGACATGACCATGACTAAATAAAACGTGACCTCTTTGGTGTCAGCAAATATACGGAGTGAAGTTGCATGGGTTGAGTCTATTGTTTTGAGTGGGTTGTCAATCAGAATTTACGGAATCACTGACAACAGCCTTCAAACAAAACATGGCGCTCAATACGCTCAAGCAGTTTGTTTGCTCAAGCAGTTTGTTTACGGCTTAATACTGCATTGAACTTATGAGGGTCTCTAAAGGCACGTAGCACGCCAATTTCGTAAAGAAAGCTAAGCAGTCTGTGCAAAGGTTTCGTTCCACATCACTTTTATGATATCATATCGCTCATTGTGACGCAAAAGATATGACGTCACATTTGTATCTTAAAAAGCGCCAAATAGCTAGGTTTTGTCGTTTTCAAAACTTGAAGTACATTCTCATTGTTGATTGCTGTCGTGTGTTCTGCTTGATATGTTATGCCACATATCCTTTGACTGTTGTAGTCATTTGTAACCTATGATTGTACATGTATATCATTATCTTAATATGCCTACCGACAAATGAAGTACTATTCTAAAACATTTAGCTTCCGCAGTGATGCGGCTGTCAATTTGGCTGTTTCAATCAGAGGGTGTGTATTGTGATTTGAAACCTCAGATGAAACCGGCGAGATATAGAAAGCGGATTATGACTTTGCCTTGATTTTAAAAGGACATTACAAGCTGCGGTGCACATGTTACAAGCTGATTGGCCCTACTTCTTCAAACACATCACAATACCCTATGACATAATTTGTGAAGATGTGTTGCCAGATACACCGGCGAAACAATTCCCTGTAATGTCAGGGGTCATCGAGTGGGCATAAGCTCCTCTCAGTGATCTATCATAAGCCCAGTGATTTTGAGAGTTTTCAAGATTTGTTTACTAAATATTTTATAGTACTAGTATGTTTTTGCTGAAATTATGGACACATCATGTTCAGGGAACACCTAAAATGGACTTTAGACTATGTACCCATCTAGTGAATGAAACAAGTGCTTTCTGTGTGATGAGCCAACACTTCAACCACTACGCTACCCCCCTCCCCCTTCCCCCTCCAGCTGACCCGTGAAGATCCGGGGTAGAATAGGTCTTCAGCAACCCATGCTTGCCGTAAAAGGTGACTATGCTTGTCGTAAAAGGCGACTAACGGGATCGGGTGGTCAGGCTCGCTGACTTGGTTGATGCATGTCATTGATCCCAATAGTGTGGATCAATGTTCATGATATCAATCACTGGATTGTCTGGTTCAGATATCCAGTAAACAACTTTAACAGAAGTTTCAAAGTGTCAGGAGTGACTGTTCTAGTGGTTATTGTAAAGAATTAGTTCCGCAAGTTCGCTGCATTCCGACTTGTGTATTTCACTATTTTCCTGAATTTGTGTTTCCTGGATTCTTACAAGATTTGCAGCCAGTTCTAAAAGAATTCAGTTTTTCAAAATAAAACTGCTGCCATTCACTTGTGGTGGGAAGTGTTACCTGCACTGGGTGCAACCTGACACTAAAAGTTACCTGCACTAGCAATGTTTTACCGGCACTGGTGCAGCTTGGATATAGCGAAACTGATCCCTGGTCACCTACTATACCCCACGTTCCACACATACACACACACACCACAACCCACAAGGTCCTATTCTCTCCCCTCCCCTCTTGAACAAGTAACTGTCTGAGCAGAGCTCCAGATCTGCGTAAAATACGCATAAAAAATGCAGAAATACGCAGTAAAATAAAATCCAAGCGTATCAAATACGCAAAGAACATAACAGATACGCTACAAAAAAAAAAACTTGTGCGTATCATCAAAATATTGTGAAGTAACCCTGCATATTCGATTAGCAAATCAGCAACTTATTTTGAAATTATAAACGGACATTCCGTCAATCTTGCCCAACTCCACGATGACAGTTACATCATGATCATTTGCCATCCCACTTTCTTGTGGAAGTATCGTGGTATTTTTTAGTCCTATAAAGGTCTCGAACCCACACGACACCAGTTTGCAGGGACTAGATGAATAGTGTTTTTAAATATTTAACTTAAACATGTTAAATACCCACATGTGTAAAAACTAGTGGGTAACAGAAATTTGAATACCCAGATAGAATTACTGATACCCAATGATTTTAAAATGCATGGGTAAAATACCCACAACACCAAAAGCTTATCTGGAGCTCTGTTGTATGTAGTTTTTATATCTGCAAAATCAGTGTTCCTTTCAATTCTCTTTTGTTCTATTTCCAGTGGTATTTTTAAGGCCATGACCATTTATCTTGATCAGCAATCTCAACTGTCAAAAATGACAAATTTTCTTAGCTCACGAATGTTCATTTTACTTTGGCATTAACCCTTTCCATGGTGACTCATAGATTTGAAGCTTGTTATTCCTATCAATGAAAATCTTAATATACTAAACTAAAAATGTTAGGGATCATGAATACTGTAAAACGTGACATTAATGCATCTCCAAAAGAATGCGACCGCTGGCCCCTAGCCAAAAATGCGACTCAATATGAATACGACACCCCCTCCTCTCAAGCATCAGTGGATTTCTATCTGAACAAAATGTCCTCTGTCAGGTTTACAGGAGAATCCTCACCTGAGTGAGACGTTTTACAGTTGTTCTTGTGATTGGCCAGTAAACTACAAATGTTTCTTAAGCATCTGAGAACCCATTACACAGGGATATATACACAAAAATTATCCTCAGCATGATGGGATATTGATTCTCAATAATATAGAATGAGGTCCTTTGGCCAAGAGTGCATTATGATTTTAAGATGCATGGCATTTTGATTGAGTATTATTTTTGTAGACCAATTGTTCAAGGCACAGATGTGATTCACATCATGTGTGTTTGGTTGGACTGATGGTTTGGTATATTCATCAAGGGACTGATCATTTATTATGGGGGTGATGGGTTGGGGGGGACTCAGACCTAGGGCTCCTCTCCAGTGTGTGATCTGGACTGATTACACATGTCTGTTGTTTAATGCCCCACTCAGCAATATATCACGACTATATGACGTCGGTCTGAAAAAAATCAAATCTGTAACACACATTATTTGATTCACATGAGCATCCAGCCATGCAATGGGGATATGATGACATTCATCAACCAAGTCGGCAAGTCTGACAACCCGATCCATTTAGTCACCTCAGACGACAAGCATCAGTTGCTGGGGGCCTGTATTCTTTCCCAGAATCATCACTTTGTGGCACAGACTGTTATTATGGCTGACTTTAAGGAGGATGCAGTTGATAAATGCTCTGCTTTGTCTGTCACTGTTGGCTTCAAGAACAAACTATTACTTTCAGACAATGTTGTGTACCTTCCACAACTCCCAGAAGTGAGCCGACATGACCTCTTGCGGACAGTTCCCATGAGCCTCCTCCACAACGATGGTTACCTGCCACTAGGTGTCGCTGTCAACCAGCAGGATGAGGTCAAGGTTGACCGTCTGCTACTGAAGGTAGGGCAGAATATCAGCTTGAACATCAACTAGGGATGGGACGATACACCAACTGTGCAATCTGATACATATCACGATAAGTTGTTCACGATACTTGTATGTGCTCTTATCTGTGGTGCATAAGCCATCGTTTTCATAGGCAGGATTGCCAAATACCTGGCACAGACTAGTACAAGCAGCCACACACACACACACACACACACACACACACACACACACACACACACACACACACACACACACACACACACACACACACACACACACATACACGGGCATGCACGTCGCTATATAAGTGCAACAATCTTGGACGCGACGTTAAACCCCATTTCACCTCACCTCACTAATCATGCTAATTAGTGTTTGGTGAAACAGCCATTAAAGTAAACATTTAAGGTATGAATGGATATTTTTTACTAAGTGTGCAACTGTGATCGATACTTGTATCGGGAAGTAAAATATCACAATCCACCGATGCATCTGTCTATCATCGCACCACTAACATAAACCCTAAATCCATGCTATTTTATGTACTTTAGTACGAATTAATACAATCTATATTTCACTCAAGTGAAACAACACTTTGTCAGAATTAAATTTAGTCAGCGGAAAGGGGAAGGTCCGGGGTTTGATAACGTGGACGTATCACACCAATTGATGTTAAAAGATGGCACTTTTTTATCCCTTTGAATGGCATTTAGAGTGAGTGAGTTGGGTTTTAATGCCACTTTTAACATTATTCCAGTTATATCACGGCATGTCAGCTTAATGTGGGAGGAAAGCCTGAAGTGATGCAGGTCTCAGACGTTTATCACTTCGGTGAAACCCACGAGTACGGGTATGGTGCTGACAAACTTAGAAACATGATTGGGGCGAACCGGGATTCGGACCCACAATCATAGGTTTCTGGCGTGCCCAAGGGACGCAACTCTGCACAGCAAATTGTGGCGCCTTAGATGACTGGGCCACCTGTGCCCCAAAAGGCATTGAGAAGTGATACACATAATGAAGAGAATTCACTTGATGAAGGAGTAAGCCTTTACTCCGAAACGTTGTGTTCCTCATAATAAAGAAGTTGACATTCATAAATTCTCTTCCTCCTTCTTGATCCCTGCGACCGCCTCCGTGGTCTACTGGTAGAGCGTCCGCCCGGAGAGCGGAAGGTCCGGGGTTCGGTCCCCGGCTCGGTCATACCAAAAGACGTTAAAATATGGTACTTGCTGTTACCCTGTCTGGCGCTCGGCATTAAGGGGCTTAAACAAGGACTGGTCGGCTCGGAGTCAGTATGCTGTGTCTGAGTGGGGTATTCATGTTAAACTGCGGCATGGTATCTCAGTGAGCTAGCACTATAAATCAGCATCAGTCCGGACTAGTACAAGCAACCACACACACACACATACACGTGCATGCATGTCGCTATATAAGTGCAATAATCTTGGACGTGACGTTAAACCCCATTTCACCTCACCACCTCTTGATCCACGCCTGGCATTCAGAATAAAGGGGATAAAACAAGGACTGGTCGGCTTAGTAGGAATGGGCAGTGGAAGTTTAAAGTGTATCACAATATATTGTATAATTATAAATTTTGAATATATATACTTTGCACTTCTCTCTTGTTATCCTATCTACCATATCAACAATGGATGATTATTATTCGTGTTTGTTTTTCTGAGATCTTTTTCCTCCAGGCAGAAGACCTGGACTAATCAAAACAATAATCATGATAATGCCCATTTTCGGAGCACCTTGCTTTTGGGATTATTTCAGTTTTTTTGTTTTTTTGTTTGTTGTTTAACGCCGCAATCAGCAATATTCCAGCTTTATGGTGGCGGTCTGTAAATAATCGAGTCTCGACCAGACAATCCCGTGATTTACATCATATGCATTAATCCAACCATTGGGATACGATGACATGCATCAACCAAATCAGCGAGCCTGACTATCCGATCCCGTTAGTCGCCTTTTACGACAAGCATAGTCGCCTTTTGATTATTTAAACTCTGTTTCTATTCATAAGGCCCACATACAACTTGAGATTTTTGGTATTTCATTCCAGGATGAGGACAGTGTAAATGCCATTGACTTCTATGATAGAACCCCTATCCAGTACGCAGCCCAGATTGGCAACTGTAACATTGGAAGGAAGCTGATCAATGCAGGTAAACCGTACCCAATGCAGGTATACCGTAATGAATGCAGGTTAACTGTACTCAACTCAGGTAAACCGTACTCAATGCAGGTAAACTGTACAGAATGCAGGTAAACCGTACCCAATACAGGTAAACAGTACTCAATGCAGGTAAACCACACTCAATGCAGGTAAACCATACTCAATGCAGGTAAACTGTACTCACTGCAGGTAAACTGTACTCAATCCACGTAAACAGTACTCAATCCAGGTAAAACATATAAAATGCAGGTAAACCATACACAATCCATTTAGGTAAACTGTACTTAATGCAGGTAAACCATACTCAATGTAGGTAAACCATACAAAATGCAGATAAACTGTACTCAATCCAGGTAAACCGTACAAAATGCAGGTAAACTGTAAACAATGTAGCTTACCTGTACATAATGCAGGTAAACTGTACTCAACGCAGGTAAACTGTACTAAACACAGGTAAACTGTACTCAATGCAGGTAAACTGTACTCAGTGCAGGTAAACCATGCTCAGTGTAGGTAAACTACTCAATGCAGGTAAACTGTACTCAATGTAGGTAAACTGTACTCAATGTAGGTAAACTGTACTCAATGCAGGTAAACTGTACTCTATGCAGGTAAACTGTACTCAGTGCAGGTAAACTGTACTCAATGTAGGTAAACTGTACTCAACGCAGGTAAACTGTACTCAATGCAGGTAAATTGTACTCAGTGCAGGTAAACCATGCTCAGTGTAGGTAAACTGTACTCAATGCAGGTAAACTGTACTCAATGCAGGTAAATCATGCTTAAAGTGTGCAGAAAGACCATACTAAAAGCCACACACAAAGCCACACACATACCCACTCACTCACTCACTGGCTCACTCTGTTGTACATTCCAGGTAGTAACATTGACCGTCTGGATGGCTATGGCGTGTCGGCACTGCACATAGCTGCCTGTAAAGGCCACGATTGGTTCGTGAAGCTGCTCATCAACATGGGGTGTTACAGAGATCCCACATCAAGGTAGGCATCAGCTCGACTGGCATGTAATCAGTTCATAGAGTATATCAGAAGAATTCAAAACTAAATGGACAACTATTTTAATTTATTTAAAGACGGCTGAGTGCTTGAGGACTGCTGCATGAAGGCTTGATGATTGGTGGGTGTCCCAGCTGATGAAGTTAATGATAAATAAGTTTTAACATGACACCAGGAACTAGACAAGAATGACATGAAGGGTTCACGGGTTGTTACATCACAGTAGGGAGCCGACAACACACCGGGATTCAAACCCACAATCATAGGTTTCTTGCATGCCCAAGGGACGCAACTCTGCACAGCGAATCGCAGCACCTTAAACAACTGGGCCAGCCTTGCCCCAACTACCTTGATGAACAAAAGAGATTCAAGAGAGAGCTATTGCTATGGGCATCTTTACCAGTGTATGCAGAGATGACGCAGTTTTCATTTTGATTACTGGGCAATTATTTTCCCTTTCTACGCTTAGTAGGGGTCACTTATAAAGATTATAGATTCTTTTGTAAGACCTTGTTCAACACTGTATGACTTGGTATGAAGCTGTATGACTTGGTATGAGTCTGTATGACTTGGTATGAAGCTGTATGAGTTGGTATGAAGCTGTATGACTTGGTATGAGTCTGTATGACTTGGTATGAAGCTGTATGAGTTGGTAGAGTCTGTATGACTTGGTATGAGTCTGTATGACTTGGTATGAAGCTGTATGACTTGGTATGAAGCTGTATGACTTGGTATGAGTCTGTATGACTTGGTATGAGTTGGTATGAGTTGGTATGGGTCTGTATGACTTGGTATGAAGCTGTATGACTTGGTATGAGTCTGTATGACTTGGTATGAGTCTGTATGACTTGGTATGAAGCTGTATGACTTGGTATGAAGCTGTATGACTTGGTATGAGTCTGTATGAGTTGGTATGAGTCTGTATGACTTGGTATGAGTCTGTATGACTTGGTATGAAGCTGTATGACTTGGTATGAAGCTGTATGACTTGGTATGAGTCTGTATGACTTGGTATGAGTTGGTATGAGTTGGTATGAGTCTGTATGACTTGGTATGAAGCTGTATGACTTGGTATGAGTCTGTATGACTTGGTATGAGTCTGTATGACTTGGTATGAAGCTGTATGACTTGGTATGAAGCTGTATGACTTGGTATGAGTCTGTATGAGTTGGTATGAGTCTGTATGACTTGGTATGAAGCTGTATGACTTGGTATGAGTCTGTATGACTTGGATATTAAGCTGTATGACTTGGTATGAGTCTGTATGACTTGGTATGAAGCTGTATGACTTGGTATGAGTCTGTATGACTTGGTATGAGTTGGTATGAGTCTGTATGACTTGGTATGAGTCTGTATGACTTGGTATGAAGCTGTATGACTTGGTATGAGTCTGTATGACTTGGTATGAGTCTGTATGACTTGGTATGAAGCTGTATGACTTGGTATGAGTCTGTTTGACTTGGTATGAGTCTGTATGACTTGATATGAGTTGGTATGAGTCTGTATGACTTGGTATGAGTCTGTATGACTTGGTATGAGTCTGTATGACTTGGTATGAGTCTGTATGACTTGGTATGAGTCTGTATGAGTTGGTATGAGTCTGTATGACTTGGTATGAGTCTGTTTGACTTGGTATGAGTCTGTATGACTTGATATGAGTTGGTATGAGTCTGTATGAGTTGGTATGAGTCTGTATGACTTGGTATGAGTCTGCATGACTTGGTATGAGTCTGTATGACTTGGTATGAGTTGGTATGACTTGGTATGAAGCTGTATGACTTGGTATGAAGCTGTATGACTTGGTATGAGTCTGTATGACTTGGTATGAGTTGGTATGAGTCTGTATGACTTGGTATGAAGCTGTATGACTTGGTATGAGTCTGTTTGACTTGGTATGAGTCTGTATGACTTGATATGAGTCTGTATGACTTGTTATGAGTCTGTATGACTTGGTATGAAGCTGTATGACTTGGTATGAAGCTGTATGACTTGGTATGAGTCTGTATGACTTGGTATGAGTTGGTATGAGTCTGTATGACTTGGTATGAAGCTGTATGACTTGGTATGAGTCTGTATGACTTGGATATTAAGCTGTATGACTTGGTATGAGTCTGTATGACTTGGTATGAAGCTGTATGACTTGGTATGAGTCTGTATGTCTTGGTATGAGTCTGTATGACTTGGTATGAGTCTGTATGACTTGGTATGAAGCTGTATGACTTGGTATGAGTCTGTATGACTTGGTATGCATCTGTATGACTTGGTATGAAGCTGTATGACTTGGTATGAGTCTGTATGACTTGGTATGAGTCTGTATGACTTGGTATGAGTCTGTATGACTTGGTATGAAGCTGTATGACTTGGTATGAGTCTGTATGACTTGGTATGAGTCTGTATGACTTGGTATGAAGCTGTACGACTTGGTATGAAGCTGTATGACTCTGTATGAGTCTGTATGACTTGGTATGAAGTCTGTATGACTTGGTATTGGTCTGTATGACTTGGTATGACGCTGTATGACTTGGATATTAAGCTGTATGACTTGTATGAGTCGGTATGACTTGGTATGACGCTGTATGACTTGGATATTAAGCTGTATGACTTGGTATGAGTCGGTATGACTTGGTATGCGTCTGTATGACTTAGTATGAGTCTGTATGACTTGGTATGAGTCTGTATGACTTGGTATGAAGCTGTATGACTTAGTTTGAAGCTGTATGACTTGGTATGATTGGTTGGTTTGATGTTTAACGCCGCACTCAGCAATATTCCAGCTATATGACGGCGGTCTGTAAATAATCGAGTCTGGACCAGACAATCCAGTGATTGATATCATGAGCATCGATCCACGCCATTGGGACTTGGTATGAAGCTGTATGACTTGATATGAGTCTGTATGACTCTAATGGGTTTTAGGGATCATTGAATCCTGGAAAAGTCATGGAAGAATAATGTTTTTAGAATAGTAGGGTTTTTTTCAAGTAATATGTCAGTGACAGGAAAATATATAAAAACTGAACCATGTTATTCTGAGTTAACCATGCTAACACCTCTCAAAGTTTGGTGGTTTGCTGTGATAGTAGTGTATGAAGCATGCTTGGTGACTCTGTAAGATCTGTGTTCTGTGTATCAGCGATGGGATCAGCCCTATCCACTGCGCGGCAGGCAATGGACGTACAGACACAGTGAGGACATTGCTAGAAGCTGGAGTGGACGTAAATGTCCGCGGTCCAGGGAACCGGACGCCCCTCTACATGGCTGCAGAGTGTGGCCACCTGGACATTGTGAAGGCACTAGTGGACGCGAAGGCCAGACTCAATATTGCAAGTGATTATGGTAGGAATGTTATCCACAAATTAATACATAGAGGTTATCAAGCGGGTGTTTTTGTGGGATGGTAAATATCCTGTATTAGGAATAAACATTGTATTTAGCAAGCCGGGGTGAGCTTATACATAGTGTTTATTCCTAATACAGGATATTTGCCATCCACGAACACACAAGCGTGATAACCTCTTTATCATGTAATGTCATTCTTCAATTTTGTGCTCACAAATCTATTCCCATCTCTCACAAACATTACCTAAGCATTGCAAGTTTTCCTTGTGTGCATTAATATTTATTACGTCAGAGGGTAAGTGATGTGTCAGTCGGACAGTGACAGAAGCCAATATAGTTCCAACTGAAACCTGGTCCTTAGACAGAGACATAACTACATATAAGCAAAACAACAATTGCCTACACAAATTGTTTTTACTTGCCTTTTTTGGGAATCCATTTGTCTGTCTGATAGAGTAACTGGCCTTTATCAAAGGGAAACTACTCTAACCCTAGTCTATGAGACGTCACGGCCACAGTCAAACATTGTTGACAGTCGGCCTGTCCTGTTATAATGTTATGAAGTGCAGTCAGATGTACACACAGTAACAAAATGAAACAAGGTAACAATTCGAACATATTTTGGCCAAATCCAACTCTTTTAATTTGTGGAAAAGGTTCCAAGTCGCAAAGGTCTACAAGCACATATGTGGAAACTGATTCTGTTTGGCTTGTGCCCTCGCAGAATTGTTTCCCAATTTAAATCTCCAAAGTGGCCAAAACTTGTAAAATGCACTAGCTACGTCACAGTTAGACACTGATTTTCAGTATATTAGGCAATTCTTTTGATAATGATAGCAATTATCCCAGTAGTTTCTCCAGATTCCAAAAGGTTAATTCTGACTTGATCGCTGTTTGACAAGGGCGATGCCATGTTTGTTTATAAACACTGAAAGTAGTCCCTACTTGACCTTTGCTGTTTGCATCTCTATCTGCATATCGTTTTTATCCGTTGGCTTTATCCTGCCGAGAAACCTACCCATTATATGATAAAGTGGGATATCTGTGACCTGAAGTTTTTAAATAATTTTAAAACCTAACAAGACAGTTGGGCAGGTGACACACAGATTTGATTTGTGTGATATATTGTTTAATGACAAAAATTATCTAGAACTCCATGGCCTCACTACGAGTCACTAATGTTCGCTTTTCTTTCTGACTATGAATGCATTCCTTCAAACATTTACAGGTTTGAATAAAGATAAAACTTCAGTCATCTTCAGCGTATGCATAGCCAGATCATTTTATACGTGTATCTAAGTACATTTTGCCCAGGCTACGATCAAACTATTCCCAATCAAACATTTTGTACCCAACTCTTGAGACCTACAGTGGGTACCCGGGTAGGGTCTGGTACTACCGGGGTGGGTACCTGGGTAGTAAAAACTCTTCCCAGCCCTACTTCAAGTTATAACATAAGTGAATACGTAAGTAGTCTTAAAATTATCTGTCACACTGTCGGGCAGGTGGAGGAAAGTTTCATGCGGCCCGACAGAAAAGTTACCAGCCATTTATTTCGGACACTGGTGACCTTTGACAAATTTAGTTCAGATTGGTAACCATGGTAACCATATCCATAAACATCAACAAAAATCAGTTTGTGAAGAAAATGAATGTTCCGACATACATGTCTATATGGCATGCGGCTGTTCTACTGTGTTGAATAACACACACGTCTATATGCAGGCCTGACACCGCTGTGTACTGCGGTGTTGAATAACAAGACTGATGTGGCCATCTGTCTCATCAAGAGCGGGGCACGGGTCAACAAGAGTGACTCCAAGAATAACCTCCCCTTGCACCACGCTGTCAGGAACGGGAACATCAGCATCGTCCTGGAGCTGCTTAAGTCAGGTGAGCTTCAATCTTACACGCTGAAACACACGTAAAAACTCAAAAGAAGTTAAGGATCACCCGACTCTTTCATGTTACTACAGTCGTGCCTGGTTTATACGGACACTTGCGTCATTTCACAAGAGTTACTTGCTAACGGGTGTTTTTCCTTAAAGAGACAAATTTCCCTTTTTTTCCCGTGCTGTCACTGCGTGTCGCTTACGTTTCGCTGGTTGACACAACTTTGACCTCTGACCTCCACAGACGCAATATTTATCGAAGGGGATTACATGTATGTACAATAAACAAGCTCGTCTCAAACGTAACTCAGTGTCACTTGGTTAATTGACTTCTCATGAAACAAGGGTTACCACCAGTGGAAGTTTATTGTCCGGATAAGTGAGACAATTTTGTGTGCATTTCAGTGTTTTGTGTATGAAAATGACTGTCCGGTTCCGGAAACTGAATTTCCGGATATATGGGTAAATTTATATAGTAATTATTTCATTTTGAATGACCCGACATGGGTACAATGTGTGAAGCCCATTTCTGGTGTCCCCCGCCGTGATATTGCTGGAATATTGCTAAAAGCGGCGTAAAACCATACTCACTCACTCACTCGTTTTGAATGAAAATCATCCGGGAACCGAGGTTTCCGGATATCTGAAGTCCGTATAAGCGGGGCACGACTGTATAGTTCATCATGCCATAATATAGTAATATGAAAGAATCGGATGGTCCTTAAGTTATATAACTTCTTTTGACTAGTACATGTCAAGTTCTTATAAATAAATTGCAAATAACTCTGTGGCATTTGATTGGCTAACTGAAGCAATTTTGTTTGCGTTTGCGTTTCCGTTTCCTGATTGATGATAATAGACTGGGTGGGGCTTGTGATGCATGTTTATCACTGATTTTGTACTGTTGTCTACAGCTTTTTGAATTAATGATTAAATCATTGAAGTAGTCTTTGAATTAGTTATTGTTTTTACGTTTTTATACCCACAAACACAAATAAAAATTAAAGTCAGTTTGTAAATACACTCACTTAAGAACTCACTGCAACTGCAATAATAATATTTCTAGTGAACATGAGTATCCCACACTCACTCACTCACTCACTCACTTTTATTCTTTAGCCATCGTAGGATATGACATGTTCTCAAACTGATGAGGGCAGCTCTCGATTTGCTCTTATCTACTTTCAGATTGCGATCGAAATATTTTAACGAAGAACTTTGAAAGTCCCATCCACATCGCAGTTCGAATGGGTCATGTCGGTGTGCTCCAAGCCCTCATACAGCAAGGCTGTGACGTGAACCTCTGCGAACCCGTTGGCAACGTCACCCCCCTCCATGTGGCCGTCAACGTTCACCAGGACTTTGTCGTCTTCAGTAAAATATTCTGCCAGCTTTTAGAAGGAGGTTGTATATTAAACTGGCGCGCATTTAGCACCCTAGAAACTCCTTTATACAGGGCATTAGAACTGGATAAGAACGATATCGCCATTTTGTTGCTTGCACATGGTGCTGATCCCAATCTTGCCTCACCCTTTGACATCACAGCGCTGCAGAAAAGTTGCCAGCGGCAGAAAATGAACATAGCAGAAATGCTGCTTAATTGCGGAATTCAGTGGAAACGAGAACGATGGTTGAAGCATTTCAATCAACTTCAAGGGGAGATAACTAACGATTCAAAGGTTAATGATTTGTTGCGCGAGTGGAGGTTCACAACGACCTCCTTGCAGAAGACCTGTCGGATAGCCCTGCGGCATATTCTTGGAGAGAACTTACAGTGCAAAGTCAGCCAGCTGCCGATTCCAGAAAAAATTCAGGATTTCTTGATGCTGAGTGATTTAATGTGATGCTTCCATGGTGCTGTTGTTGATGCAGTTTTAGATGTTGTTTTGATATGTTGTTGCTTAGTGGAGAGCATTTAGTGAACTTCTTCCACTGTTTGTACCTGACGCAAGCTTAGTGCCATTAGCCATCAGGCAGCAGCCAAAACAATGGTACAATCTATACCATATCCGGTTTCAGGTGCTCTTGCGTAACTTCCTTATTAGCGATGCCAAATCTGAAAAGTGAACTTCTCTGCCGATGTTAATTTCTTCAAGATATCATTTACTTCACATAGTCCACTATTTGTTTTCATTCAGTCCCGAGGACCAATGAATGCTGTATTTAATGACGTCCAATCACAGCCTCCGCCTGTCTACTAGTTTAAGTAGACAGGAGCCCAATCTAAACATTTAGCACCTTACAAACTTCTATTTTATCATACTATTGTATCCTATTGTTTGTTTCAAAAGTATTCTGAGTACATGTGACTGCCTTTGTTATAAAGTGTCATGCATTCGGAGAGTACTTTGGTAGCAATGATCAAAATTAAGGGGTCCTCGAGGTGTTCTGTAGTATTTAAATCTAGGGACCTCCTAGACTTTTGACGTTTGACATAGGGTTTATAACAAGGACCCCTTGACTTTCATGCTTAATTCTGAACACTGGGTTGTGTTTCTGGGAGGTTATCCGTATGTGTGACCTTACTACCCGTCAGGTAGGCATGGATGGTTTAAGGTGCTGTAGCTTGTTGTGCGGAGTTGTGTACCTTGTGTCAGGATCCTCTGTTTGTGGATTGAGATCCCAGATTTGTCAACTGCATAGTATTTTGATATTTTGTTACAAAAGTGATATGCCGGTGATGATTTAAAGGAGAGACATTTTTTAGATGATTTTTTAGGCTCATCTTGAAAAGGCTTGAATTTTTAGGTTGGTCTTGAAAAGGCTTGAATGTTTAGATTTGTTTTGAAAAGACTTGAATTTTTCAGGTTCATATATATCTAACAGCCTTAAAATTTTAAGTTGGTCTTGAAAAGGCTGGAATTGTTATGTTCATTTTGAAAAGGCTTGCATTTTACCGGTTCACATTTAAAAGTCTCGAATTTTTAAGTTGGTCTTGAAAAGGCCATGAATTTTGAATTTTGTCTTGAAAAGGCTTTGAATTCTGAAGATTCTGAAGAAAGCCTTGAACATTTGGCAACTGACCATAAGTCTGTATTTTCAGAAAGTGCTTTAGATGAGAACTGTTTTGGGAGTAGGTTTGAGATGTTGTTGACAATGTGTGATGAAAGAGTGAATAGAAGCAGTGTTAACAAGGTCAGAAAGTGACATTGTATTGACCTTATGACGTCACATATTTATGACAGCCAGCCAACCTGATAGCAAGATTGTATTACAATGTAAACTGAAATGGATAAATTTTTGTATAAGTTTGAGGTGTTCTCAACAAACCTAGTCGAGAGAACCTAGTCAACTGACCTTTATAATGTATATGATAATTACAGCTTTAAGAATATATGAAGTGGAGATGTGTTTTAGTTGGCATCCAACGTTATATTTGTGCAGTGCAGGTGCTGTTCAAAAGTTGTACGTCAGATAAAAATGTTAATTCCTCAACTGTTTGTATCAAATAAAAATGTTAATTCCTCAACTGTTTGTATCGGATAAAAATGTTAATTCCTTAACTGTTTGTATCAGATAAAAATGTTAATTCCTTAACTGTTTGTATCAGATAAAAATGTTAATTCCTCAACTGTTTGTATCGGATAAAAATGTTAATTCCTTAACTGTTTGTATCGGATAAAAATGTTAATTCCTTAACTGTTTGTATCAGATAAAAATGTTAATTCCTTAACTGTTTGTATCGGATAAAAATGTTAATTCCTCAACTGTTTGTATCGGATAAAAATGTTAATTCCTTAACTGTTTGTATCGGATAAAAATGTTAATTCCTTAACTGTTTGTTTCAGATAAAAATGTTAATTCCTTACTTATTTGTATCGGATACAAATGTTAATTCCTCAACTGTTTGTATCGGATAATAATGTTAATTCCTTAACTGTTTGTATCGGATACAAATGTTAATTCCTCAACTGTTTGTATCAGATAAAAATGTTAATTCCTTACTTGTTTGTATCGGATAAAAATGTTAATTCCTTAACTGTTTGTATCGGATACAAATGTTAATTCCTCAACTGTTTGTATCGGATAATAATGTTAATTCCTTAACTGTTTGTATCGGATACAAATGTTAATTCCTCAACTGTTTGTATCAGATAAAAATGTTAATTTCTTACTTGTTTGTATCGGATAAAAATGTTAATTCCTTAACTCTTTGTATCAGATAAAAATGTTAATTCCTCAACTGTTTGTATCGGATAAAAATGTTAATTCCTTAACTGTTTGTATCGGATAAAAATGTTAATTCCTTAACTGTTTGTTTCAGATAAAAATGTTAATTCCTTACTTGTTTGTATCGGATACAAATGTAAATTCCTCAACTGTTTGTATCGGATAATAATGTTAATTCCTTAACTGTTTGTATCGGATACAAATGTTAATTCCTCAACTGTTTGTATCAGATAAAAATGTTAATTCCTTACTTGTTTGTATCGGATAAAAATGTTAATTCCTTAACTGTTTGTATCGGATACAAATGTTAATTCCTCAACTGTTTGTATCGGATAATAATGTTAATTCCTTAACTGTTTGTATCGGATACAAATGTTAATTCCTCAACTGTTTGTATCAGATAAAAATGTTAATTCCTCAACTGTTTGTATCGGATAAAAATGTTAATTCCTTAACTGTTTGTATCGGATAAAAATGTTAATTCCTTAACTGTTTGTATCAGATAAAAATGTTAATTCCTTAACTGTTTGTATCAGATAAAAATGTTAATTCCTCAACTGTTTGTATCGGATAAAAATGTTAATTCCTTAACTGTTTGTATCGGATAAAAATGTTAATTCCTTAACTGTTTGTTTCAGATAAAAATGTTAATTCCTTACTTATTTGTATCGGATACAAATGTTAATTCCTCAACTGTTTGTATCGGATAATAATGTTAATTCCTTAACTGTTTGTATCGGATACAAATGTTAATTCCTCAACTGTTTGTATCAGATAAAAATGTTAATTCCTTACTTGTTTGTATCGGATAAAAATGTTAATTCCTTAACTGTTTGTATCGGATACAAATGTTAATTCCTCAACTGTTTGTATCGGATAATAATGTTAATTCCTTAACTGTTTGTATCGGATACAAATGTTAATTCCTCAACTGTTTGTATCAGATAAAAATGTTAATTTCTTACTTGTTTGTATCGGATAAAAATGTTAATTCCTTAACTCTTTGTATCAGATAAAAATGTTAATTCCTCAACTGTTTGTATCGGATAAAAATGTTAATTCCTTAACTGTTTGTATCGGATAAAAATGTTAATTCCTTAACTGTTTGTTTCAGATAAAAATGTTAATTCCTTACTTGTTTGTATCGGATACAAATGTTAATTCCTCAACTGTTTGTATCGGATAATAATGTTAATTCCTTAACTGTTTGTATCGGATACAAATGTTAATTCCTCAACTGTTTGTATCAGATAAAAATGTTAATTCCTTACTTGTTTGTATCGGATAAAAATGTTAATTCCTTAACTGTTTGTATCGGATACAAATGTTAATTCCTCAACTGTTTGTATCGGATAATAATGTTAATTCCTTAACTGTTTGTATCGGATACAAATGTTAATTCCTCAACTGTTTGTATCAGATAAAAATGTTAATTTCTTACTTGTTTGTATCGGATAAAAATGTTAATTCCTTAACTGTTTGTATCGGATAAAAATGTTAATTCCTCAACTGTTTGTATCAGATAAAAATGTTAATTCCTTTCTTGTTTGTATCGGATAAAAATGTTAATTCCTTAACTGTTTGTATCGGATAAAAATGTTAAAATGGGGTGGGGGGGGTAGTAGGCCAGCAATTTGTTTTATCTAACGTGTCAGTGATTTTAATGTTAAAGTCAATAAGTAACAGTTGTAATCATCATGTTTTCTCTTTGAAAAGAAAAAATTCACTATGGTAGATAAAACAGGATGACATCCATGAAAGATTGAGCATGGTCAAATGTCTGGTGTGCTGTGTTTTGATCAACTTTATGTAGTACTACTATGAATTGAGTGTTTTTCAAAGTGTCTTTCTAAATATCGCAACATTTTCACACTTACTGGTAAGGTACCCTAAACTTTTAGGGTGAGTTTGGATGCTTAGTTCAGCATGGGTGGAAACTGGACTTTTATGGTCAATTAATTCCCTTGCCTTGGGAACACTGTCCAACTCTATGTAGAGAAGAAGGACTATATGTCTCTATTGCTATGAGTATTGTTATGTGGTCGGGTAGCAATGTATTCTGTGTGCACATTCAAATTGTTTGGGTCACAATATGGTTGAATTATTGCTAACGTGACTTAAAATTTTAACTCAACCACAAACAATTTACAAGTTGGCTGCCGTTGAAGTGGTAGAATGAAATGATTGTGTAAGGATCAGGGCAGAATGTTAGTTCTAGGGTTATCTAGTTGCAACCAGGTTTCATTCTCAACTCCCTGGGGAGTATACAGAGGCACATTCAAACAAAGACACTTTGTGGGGCGGTCGGGTATCCTAGTGGTTAAAGTGTTCGCTCGTCACGCCAAAGAACCAGGGTTCGATTCTCGACATGGGTACAATGTTGGAAGCCCATTTCTGGTGTCCCCCGCCGTGATATTGCTGGAATATTGCTAAAAGCGGTGTAAAACCATGCTCACTCACTCACTCTTTTACTGTGGAAACTCAACGTAAGAGGAGCCAGTCAATTTCACCCGATTACTGTGCTATTCACAAGACCACATGCCTTTTTATAAGTAGTGGTTCGCTCATAAAGCTATCAAATGATTTAGTGAGTGGTAAGAAGTTTGTAACTGTTCCCATCATGAGCTTTGGTTTTACACTTCAGGAACAAGATGGCCGCTGTGCGAGCGTAATCATCTTGACCTTCAAAGATGGAAATTACAACATGTATAATATTACTAAGGGAAAACTTTTATTGATATCAGTAAAAAGTGGTATTTATATACATGTAGTTACATACACATATTATACAAGTCTTTACAATAACTAAAAAAGTCTTAAGTAATATGAAACAAAAGCTGTATTATTAGTAAAGGGTGGTAATTTTATACATGCTGTTATATACAAATGTCTGCAATGTCTAATCGTCTTCAATTCCTTGCAAGACCGCCTCTCTGGTCAGGTCTGATTCTGCATCATAAATAGGTTCAAGCTGGAGGAGTCTGCTGTCTGGAGGCAATTGTTTACCTGAATGTAGTGCTGTGAATTCCTGGGGGAATGACTGCATTTGCACTATCTAATAGAGATGGTTCTCTATTTGTTCAAAACCGTTCAGCAGTCAAGAGTTGAGTGTCTTCCGGCAAGGCCGACCCATCAAGGGACTATTCAGCATCAGCCACATACACTTCCCAGGAAGTGTACTGCTCTGCATATGGCAGCTTGGTGTATTCACAACAATCGCCACACATAACAGAATTCTTTATCTCTGTATTGTCACAGTCTTTTGTCACTGGGGTAACTGGCCAATGATCATGTGTCTGTTGTAAGAAATCCGGCCCATCTCACAAATGCGATTCCTTGATGAGTTCTCTGAGCAGTTTGCCTTGAGTAATGTCATCGGCAGGATTCCTTGATGAGTTCTCCGAGCAGTTTGCCTTGAGTAATGTCATCGGCAGGATTCCTTGATGAGTTCTCCGAGCAGTTTGCCTTGAGTAATGTCATCGGCAGGATTCCTTGATGAGTTCTCCGAGCAGTTTGCCTTGAGTAATGTCATCGGCAGGATTCCTTGATGAGTTCTCTGAGCAGTTTGCCTTGAGTAATGTCATTGGCAGGATTCCTTGATGAGTTCTCCGAGCAGTTTACCTTGAGTAATGTCATCGGCAGGATTCCTTGATGAGTTCCCGGAGCAGTTTGCCTTGAGTAATGTCATCGGCAGGATTCCTTGATGAGTTCTCCGAGCAGTTTGCCTTGAGTAATGTCATCGGCAGGATTCCTTGATGAGTTCTCTGAGCAGTTTGCCTTGAGTAATGTCATCGGCAGGATTCCTTGATGAGTTCTCCGAGCAGTTTGCCTTGAGTAATGTCATCGGCAGGATTCCTTGATGAGTTCTCTGAGCAGTTTGCCTTGAGTAATGTCATCGGCAGGATTCCTTGATGAGTTCTCCAAGCAGTTTGCCTTGAGTAATGTCATCGGCATGATTCCTTGATGAGTTCTCCGAGCAGTTTGCCTTGAGTAATGTCATCGGCAGGATTCCTTGATGAGTTCTCTGAGCAGTTTGCCTTGAGTAATGTCATCGGCAGGATTCCTTGATGAGTTCTCTGAGCAGTTTGCCTTGAGTAATGTCATCGGCAGGATTCCTTGATGAGTTCTCTGAGCAGTTTGCCTTGAGTTATGTCATCGGCAGGATTCCTCTGTGTGTCAACACATCGCCGGTTTTGTACGTCTGTAAGATTCTGGATTTCTGATACTCGAGTTCCAACAAATACTTTGTATCTACACGATTCTGACTTCAACTAAGCAAGTACAGTTGTAGAGTCACTCCACAATATCGCTCTCTGGTTTGGTAAAGTTAATTCCTTGCACAACACATCAGCTAGATGAGCACCAGTGAGGGCTGCACATAATTCTAGGCGTGGCATAGACAGCTGTTTCTTCAGGGAAACCTTTGATCGTGCCAAAAGGAAACTTATCAGGCCATTATGACGCCCGTTGTTAGGTGATGTCATAGGATAGAGATAGGTGACTTCACGTTGACTAGTGACGTCATCTGGTTTGTTCTATGTAGTTTCCATATTTGTAAAAGTGGGTCAGTGACATTCATGTCGATTGCAGTAAATTTTTAAAAACCGATGTTGTTGTTTCTTTTTATTTGATAATAAATTCCATCCATTTTAGCTGTAATAACGGTAAGGCTATTTTTCAGAGCATTTTCATTTGCAGAAGCCCTTTGTCTTTTCAACTGCCCTCATTCGTAGGGTCGTTAATGGAAGACCTCGGGCTTCTGCAAATGATAATGTCCCGAAGAATAGCATTACCTTTGTAATATAATGGAAGGGGACATAGGCAATGGGAGTCACACATTGTACCAATGTTGCAAATCGAACCTGGGTCTTCTGCACGACAAGCAAACTGTTTAACCACTAGGATATCCCACCACCTTCAAAGTGTCACCTTGAACCACTAATCAGTGTCATTAAGTTATATGAAGCAGTGGTGTAGCCCAATCATCTAAGGCGCTGCAATTCACTGTGCAGAGTTGTGTCCCTTTTGGCAAACCAGGAACCTATGATCATTAGTTCGAATCCTGGGTTGCCTGATTTTGTTTCTAGGTTTGTCGTAAACAGTTCAGACATGCATCACTTCGGTGTTTCCCTTCCACGTTAAGCTGACATGCCGTGATAGGACTGGAATACTGTTGAAAGTGGCATGAAACATTTCACTAACTCACTTTTATCAATAATGGCATGTTTTACCTTTGAAGATATTTTTTTTTATGACATGCTTGTAATCTAAAAATTCTCCAGTCACCGAAATATTGCAAATGCCACATTGCATTTTACCTCTCTTGATATTAAGGGGCACAATAGGCCTAGTTGCCTTATGTCACAGTAACTCACTCCGCAGAGTTGCATCCCCTGGCTGTGCAAGGATCTGCTAATCATGATCCTTCATTTGTCAGGAACATACCCATGCTTGTTGGTTTAACCAAAGTGTTAAATGTCTCTATAATCTAAAAGTGGGTAACATATTTTTATGGAAGATGGTTATTTATCTTGGTGTAGCTGTGTTTGTGTGAATGTGTATTTATTCATGTTAATATTCATGTTCCTGCCTGCATGTATACAAGTGTGACAGTGTGTAATAAGCTCTATGTTCTGTTGTCCATCCTAATGTAATGCTAGATGCATCGTTTGTTTCATGGAGTTTCTTGGCTAATATTAAAGAGACAGAAGAAAAAGCATAGTTTAATCAAACTACAGAGATGATATTCTAAATTCAAGTTTTTGTACTTCTACAAACTTCTCTGTACACAATTCCATGAAACAAGAAATACATTTTGTCTTACCTAATATAATGGGATTGATATATTTAGGACATAACACGTTTTCAATGTAGAGCTAGGTTACCTGCAGATTTAACCCCTCTAAATTGAATTTGAAACCTAAGGTGCAGTGTGAGGTTTCAAATGTTAAATTTAGTGAGGTCAATTTTAATCTTGACTGAAGTGATGGTAAGTGAAAAGGATAGATGAATTGACCATTCTAACTGCAGTTGAAACAACAGAAACCATGGCAACAAGACCGAACATGGGTGTAAAAGATGGCATTACTGAAGCATTGGTTGTTCTTAACCCTGATGGGTTAGTGGGATGTGGCATTCACAGTATTTAGACATTTAAAAACTAGGTCTTATCAGGGTAACATAAATATGCAATGATATTTAATAAATAATGCAATCATCATGGGATTATGTTGTCTTGGTGGAATTTATCCTGTGTTGGGTGATGTGCGATATAGACAGATCATTCAGTAATTAAACAATGGAGATGCAGTGTTTTTTTTGTTGTTTTTGAAAAAGCAAATAGCACAGGTTTCAAACAAGGAAGGCCCAAAGTGATGCAGATCTTGGATGTTTACCACTAGCGTTACAACACAAGGACCACCGGTCTCACACGTGTGGATGACCGATCTCACACAACACGTGTACTGAGTCGCTATATGGCTGAAATAATGCTGATGTGACACTACGTCTTAACTCACTCACTGTGAACTACATCCCCAATTATCCAGTGCATATTTCCATTGTGGTAGGATCAATGCCTGGACCCATTCGCCAGTAATGCTTCATCTCGGGGGGGATGCCACCATTTCTCTCCCTAACTAACCTTGCATAGAATATGACCGCCTCTGTGGTTTTGAGGTAGAGCGTCCGCCCGGAGAGCGGAAGGTCCAGGGTTCGATCCCAGGCCGCGTCATACAAAAAGACGTTAAAAGATTGTACTTGTTGTTACCCTGTCTGGCGCTCGGCATTAAGGGGCTAAAACAAGGACTGGTCGGCTCGGAGTCAGTATACTGTGTCTGAGTGGGGTATTCATGTTAAACTGTGGCATTGTATCTCAGTGAGCTAGCACTATAAATCGGCATCAGTCCGGACTAGTACAAGCAGCCACACACACACATACACGTGCATGCACGTCGCTATATAAGTGCAATAATCTTGGATGGACGTTAAACCCAATTTCACCTCACCTTGCATAGAATATCTCTCTCTTGATTGTAATCTGACCACTAACTGTAGTCTAGTGGTAGAGCGGAAGGTCAGGGGTTCGATCACCAGGCGCGTCATACCAATAGACGTTAAAAGATGGCACTTGTTGTTACCCTCGGCTTTCAGCAAAGCTTGAGTGAGTTTGGTTTAACGCCGCTTTTAACAGTATTACAGTTATATCACAGCGTGTCAGCTTAATGTAGGAGGAAAGCCTGAAATGATGCAGATCTCGGACGTTTACCACTAGGGTGAAACTCATGAGCACAGGTATTGTGCTGACAAACCTAGAAACATAATCGGGGCGAACCGGGATTCGAACCTACAATCATAGGTTTCTGACGTGCCCAAGGGACGCAACTCTGCACAGCAAATCGCGGCGCCTTAGACGACTGGGTCATCCTTGCCCCCGGCAAACCAAAGACTGGAGTAAGTACACTGTGTCCAAGTGCAGTATTCATATTAAACTGCAGCGTGGTATCTCAGTGGGCTAGCACTGTCAAATTCACTTCAGTCTGGAGTAGAACAAGCAGCCACACACACACACACACACACACACACACACACACACACACGCATGAATGCATGCATGCACATCTTTATATAAGTGCAATAACGGTGACGCAACGTTAATCCCAATTTCAACTCACCACCTCACCTGATCGTAATCTGATTTGACTGCTATTTTAGCAGTTATTTTCGTCTTTCGATTACAGTTCAAATTGATGCTATGGTAGCAAAGGGTTCAGGGTATTTTTTGTAACATTAGACCATTGAAGATCCAGGGTAGAATAGGTCTTCATCAACCCATGCTTGCCATAAAAGGCGACTATGCTTGTTATAAGAGGCGACTAACGGGACTGGTTGGTCAGGCTTGCTGACTTGGTTGATGCATGTCATCGTATCCCATATGTGTGGATCGATGCTCATGATGTCAATCACTGGATTGTCTGGTCCAGACTGGATAATTTACAGACCGCAAAACAAAACGTAACAGAATGGATTGATGATTACCATGAAATTGTTGTGAGAAGACTTAATCTTTGTCACACAAAACTGAAACATCCTCAGTTGTGGGTCAGGTGAGCTACAAGACTTCCAACACAACTAAATACACAACTTCTTTATTCATCCTGGTGAAACTAAAACAGAGACTGACCCAAGCAGGGTTGAAGCCGTGAGATCAACATCTGACTTCGAGGAAGCCATGGCAACAAGTGACCTAATGTTCAGTTGCTGACTGAGGACCAGTGTGAAGCATCTCTCAACTCTAGGAGCAAGAATCGTCACATCTTGCGGATGCCTGTGAGTTTGATTTGTTAAATCCTGAGCAGCACACTGATTCTATCCCAGCATTCCTCTCACAGCATCGCCGCATGGCATTGATCACGGACACACACGCTGACTCGACATACTTGTTAGCTGAAGAAAAGACATAGAGTCAACTTGATCATTTGACTTGCACTTCAAGATTTATTTAAAACTAAAACTACACACACAACTCGACTGCCTCTGTAGTTAATGGGACTGCCTCCATGATCTAGTGGTAGAGTGTCCGTCCAGAGAGCAGATCGGGAGTTCGATCCCCGGCTGCGTCAACCTAAGAGATGTTAAAAGGTGTCACTTGTTGTTACCCTGCCTGGCACTCGACACAAAGGAATGAAAACAAGGACTGGTCGGCTACGAGTCAGTATGCTGTGTCTGAGTGCGGTATTCATGTTAAACTGTGGCATGGTATCTCAGTGAGCTAGCACTATAATATCAGCATCAGTCCGGACTAGTACAAGCAGCCACACACATACACACACGTGCATGCACGTCGCTATATATGTGCAATAATCTTGAACCCAATGTTAAACCCAATTTCGCCACACCACACCTGTAGTTAACAGAGTGTCTGTCAGGTGAGTGGAAAGTCAGGGGTTCGATCCCCTGCCTCATTTAACAAAAAGACGTTAAAGATGGTAATTGTTGTTTCCCTGCCTGGGGGTAAAACGAGGACTGGATGGCTCGGAGTCCGAAAAGCATATCTTGTAAGAGTTCTTATTGGGAGGCCTTTGTTTTAAACTAACTGAACATCAAAAACACTTCACACTACACATGCTACAGGCATTCCTTCAAGGAATAAGAGTGTTTTATTAATATCTTCTCTTTTTGTAAGTAATCATAAATATTACTTTCACATATGCGACCGCCTCCGTGGTCTTGTGGTAGAGCGTCCGCCCGGAGCGCAGAAGGTCCGGGGTTCGATCCCCGGCCGCGTCATACCAAAAGACGTTAAAAGATGGTACTTCTTGTTACCCTGTCTGGCGCTCGGCATTAAGGGGCTAAAACAAGGACTGGTCGGCTCGGAGTCAGTATACTGTGTCTGAGTGGGGTATTCATGTTAAACTGCGGCATGGTATCTCAGTGAGCTAGCACTATAAATCGGCATCAGTCCGAACTAGTACAAGCAGCCACACAAACACACACACGTACATGCACGTCGCTATATAAGTGCAATAATCTTGGACGCGACGTTAAACCCAATTTCACCTCACCTCACCGCACTTTCACATATGCAAACTTTAAGCAGGCCTAAAAGTTATACATGCAAGTATTGTAGGACAATCATATTAATACCTTGCAAACATTTTTGTATTTCACAGGCTTCTTTCTGACAAGGGTCCCTCTTCCCGCCGGGCTTAGGCATCAATATCACCAGCTAACTGGAATGTGAAATTGAGATTATTTGAATATAAGTGAGTGAGTGAGTTTGGTTTTACGCCGCTTTTTTGCAATATTCCAGCAATATTACGGCGGGGGACACCAGGAATGGGCTTCACACATTGTACCCATGTCGGGAATCGAACCCGGGTCTTCGGCATGACGAGCGAACGCTTTAACCACTAGGCTACCCGACCGCCCCTTTGAATATAAGAAACAAAACAAATATATTTACAAACTGAAAATGATAACAACAGAAGAAGTTCATGCATTATTCAATATTCACAGTAATACATATTGTTATCATATTAATAACTTACAAAACTGCATATAAAAATCTGTTGTCATATAGGCCTATCACTTTTACAAGATCTGGGTTTTACCTCGCCTTGTAAAAATGGGTGTCATCTTGAATTGCCACATATCTTAGGGGTCATTTTCTGAATTTGGGAGTCATTCCGAGTTCCTATTTCAAACAACTAGCCGAGTAGCAGTCAGTATTTTAAAAAAGTTCTGTTTAAAAAATTGTAGGACCTCAATCTAGAAATCTATGTCATTTTATGTAATAGGATGAATAGTGCACAAGAGTGAGTGAGTGAATATGGTTTTACGCCGCTTTAAGCAATATTCCAGTAATATCAAGGAGGGGGACACCAGTAAGGGACTTCACACATTGGGAACAAGACGATATGCCTACATGTAAAAACGAAAAGAATATTTAATATCGGCAAAGTTACAATCAAATAAATAAAAAAGGTTTATGCGTAATATTCCCATATTCTCATCATTTTCATAACTGGCACATAAAAGCTGTCGTGATGAATCATTTAAATTTTATGTCATATTTATCCCCAACTGTTTTTTGTAAATTAATGGTGCTCGATAGCGTGATTTTATTGCGCTTTGATAAGTTTTTATCACCTTCACCGCTAGCGAAAACGATGACATACAGTCAGTGATAATGCCGTTCATTGGATAGATAGTTAGTATTCTACTTGTTGTTCTAGTTTCGAACAGAATATCACCATACAACTGTAAATCGAAGTACCTTTTCTGAGCACAGCATATATGACGTACAGAGTACACTCCCTTGATATGTAATATTGTCCTAACCACATATCATTGCTCAGTAACTTTTATGCAGACCTCAGTCGGCAGAGTCAAAAACAGAATAGGGGAATGGAAAGAGATAGTTTTGAACAACGTGTTCGTGCAAAGTGCAGCTTTAGCCAGGACAAGGTTCCGTTTTCCCCGTTCACTATAGTAAAAACCATAAAAGAATTAACTAAGCCGTCATGTTGTACGAATTACATTTGGAGGTGTCGGTCGGTCAATACGACTCTTGCTCAAAAGTTGTTTGATCAAGGTTACAAAATTCAAGAATTCAGTAAAGCTTTTAAAAAGTTTTATGGTAGACACGCGGAGGACATTTCCAAATTTGACGCATCATCGACAAGAATGATGTCCGATGCAATTCCCGATTTTAACTTGTAGCACATGTTGCCGTGTTGTTGTTTTTTTCAGGCGAACAATTGACTTGCCTTTGCGGACACCTAGTATCATTACTATTTGGTAGTGAT